AGAGAGAGAATTTGTTATCTTCAGTGTGCGAAACACGTAAAAGGCCATAAGCATATAATATGAAGTTGTAAGACACTGGCATGCTTTCCAAAGCTGATTACTGGCAGAGTCCCATTTCTTGTAGATAGCTAAGATAGGACGTGTGCAAGAAGAAGAGAGTCCCATTGGCCGGCCAGAAAATAAGCATGCATACACACTGGAATGGCCTGTTAAACAACCAGTACCCCGTCCAGCCAAAGTTTTTGCTTTTCCTGAATTCATAGAAGACATCAGTAGGCATGGTACAGGCTCGGTAGGCATGGTACAGGCTCGGTAGAGCCTGGACACTGTAGTGCCTGGAGGTCGTTCGTTTAAAAAACGAGAACGAGCGACCAGAGAATACAGAAAAAAAGAAAAAGGAGAGGCCGAAAAAAAAAAAAAAAAAAAGGCAAAAGAAAAATTTGGAAAGAAACGAAGTTCCCCTCGAAGTGGCGGAGGAGGAGGGTTGCAGTTTTTGAAACGAGGCAGCTCTCCAGACTGTCCCGTGTGATTCCCCCCCCCAAAAAAAGAATTATTCAATGAATGCGCTGCTTGAAACCGGACAGATACAGAGAAGATCAGTATTGCCTTAAGCAAGGATGACTAAAAAAAAGAAAAAGAAAAAGAAAAAGAAAAAGAAAAAGAAAATGGAAGATACAGCACGAGACTTTGTCGTTTGTGCATGTGGTGCTAACAGCAGCGAGGCTGCTTGTTGAGTGGTCCTTTTTGCCTTTTACTATTCGAAACAAAAGAAAAAGGAATGAACATTCCCGTGAAAGATGGCCCAATACAGAGAAGATTCGCATGGCCCTGAGCAAAGGATGACACACATAAATCGAGAAATGGTCGAAATTCAGAAAAAAAATCAAAAAAAGAAAAATATACAGTTGGACACGTTTTGTCCTTTGTGTTTGAGGCTGCTCGTGGAATGTGCCTCGCTGAAGTACTTAGGGCCTGGCTCCACTACTCATGAAACGTGAAAAAAAAGAACACATCTTCCGCTAGAACAAGGAAATATACATTGCCATATTTTTGCCTTTCAGGAGTGTGGAGAGTAGTGTAGCCATGGCCTTCCTATCCCCGAAAGAAAAACGGAATGAATAATGTGCTGGTAGGAGACCCGATACAGAGAGGATATTAGCATAAAACCTGAGGCGCACAAATCAAGCGACGGCCTCGGGGCAGGAACAGACGCAGGAATGCAGGTGGTGTGAGCGGTTGAGCGAGGCCCCTTCTTGTAGTAGCGGCCGTGCATAGGGGAGAACAATAGGGAAGGGAAAAAAAAAAAAAAGGCACCGAATTTAATATTTATGGGAAAAAGAAAAAAAAGAAAGGGAAGAAAAAACGAAGACTCCACGTTGGAATATAACGACCGGTCCCCTGCATTGAAGGACCGGTCTCCCGCTGTATTTTTGCTTTTCACCAGCTGCATCAACAGAAAAACAAAAGAGGTTCGGTTCAGTGGCTTGCAAAAGAAGAGGTCCCACCAATGGGCCTATCTCAGTTGGTACAGCACTGAAGTGACTGAACTGTTGAAATACAGACTCAAGTTCAAATCCAGATGCCCTCAGATGTAGAGAATAAAATCATTCTGAATTGCCTGGGGCCGGTCAGTTCATCATGAGATGATATCAAAAAAAAAAAAAAAAAAAAAAAGGTCCGGAGGAGTGCGTCTGAATGTACTGGTGGTTTTGACAAACATGCACAACCATCAAGTTGTACAACACATGCGTTAACTCCATCACTGCGCGGAAATCGACAACCATTGTCCTCCAAAGCGACTGCGAGAAAGTCACAGACTGAAAGGCAAGAATCATCTTCCAGGAAGTCGAGCCCAACTTGCCATCCATGCGGTAGCGCTGCTCGTTTGAGGGCTGAAGGAGGCCGCTGGTGTAGTGGCTACTTGTGCTGGCCGCACGCGCACGCGCACGCGGGCGCTGGAAGAAGGCGGCGAGCGCCAAGGCAGCCATAGCCGGGGCTTGGGCGCAGAAGGCAGTCGAGGTGGCGGTGGTCGTCGTGGGCTATGTGGAAGTTGTGAGGGGCAAGAAGACGAGGGTGAACAAGTAGAGGGCGAGACTAACTGCGAGAGAAGTGCGCCAGAGATACCACGTGTCGTCAGAGGGCTGATCGAGAGAGGCACGTACGCGACAGGACAAGGGAGGCTACGTGTGAGCACTGACAGGCCGATTGCCCACGTGTGGCTTTGCGAGTTTGAGCGCGCGCGCGCGCGCCCCCGCCCGCCCGCACGATCCGTATCCTCGCATCTGTGCTCGTTTATCTCTGCACCGGGGAGTGTCCTGCCTCTGCTAACTGTCGGTTTGTGCGGAGGCTGGTTCAAGCATATCAAGCATATCAAGCATATCAAGCATCAAGGGCATATCAAGATATGTGCGGAGGCTGGTTCAAGCATATCAAGCATATCAAGCATATCAAGCATCAAGGGCATATCAAGATATGCTTGATATGCCCTTGATGCTTGATATGCTTGATATGCTTGATATGCTTGAACCAGCCTCCGCACAAACCGACAGTTAGCAGAGGCAGGACACTCCCCGGTGCAGAGATAAACGAGTACAGATGCGAAGATACGAAGCGGGCGGGCGGGCGCGCACGCACGCGCGCGCTCAAACTCACAGAGCCACACGTGGGCAATCGGTCTGGGCAGAAAAGAAAGCTGGAGGAGATGTACGATACATTGCGAGCAGAGCATGAGATGGTGCTCAAGCGAATGGCTGTGTGCCGTGTGGACTCTTGGGATCCTGAACACAAGCAGGAGATGGGCCTTATGCGTCGCCCAACTGAGTTCCAAATTGCCTGTAACACATCCGCCTTTGATGATGCAAAAGGGCTCTTTGACATGCCAAGGAAGATGCCGAGCGCTGGTAATCGTCTGCAATGTTCAAGCAGGAAGATTGGCCAGGCATCAGGTACGAGGATGCGTCGATCGCAAGCAGGGTTCGCGGAAGACAGTTCGATGTTCGGCCCGGCGGGCGGTCACCAGCAATCGAATAATTTACGCAATCTCCTGTTATCGCCTTTGAATCGTCCGTTGTTCCATCAGAGGGCAAGTACCGGTTTTACCCCTGGACGTGCCAAGCGATGAGCACCATGATCGATGAGTACTGGTATAGACCTATCGATAGGACTCGGAACTTTTGCGTTGACGGAGAAGATAATATAAAAGGATTGACATGGGATTTCACTACCTTCCTCTCCTGAGAAAAAATATAGTGCTTGGCGGCGAAGACCGCGATTGTCCGGAGACGATAGTGGTAGAACCTTCTCCTGACGATGGTGTAAGGTCATGATAGCTGAATTTAGGGTATCTTTTTTCAGTCTAAATACAGCTGTAATGACTGTACATTGTATTCGGGGGAAGAAGGTAGCTGGCAGAAGTGGGTTAGAAGGTGCATAGGCGGATTCCGGTTTGCGGACAGGAGCAAAACCCCTAAAAAATAACGGCGTGGCTGCCGTCGAAAGGCAGCGTCAGTGTACTTCGTTCATGCACATGCATCCTGAAGCATGGGTTCAAGCAAGGACCCGTTGTCTGATGGTACAACCACGTGTGTACTTGTCAGTGCTTTCTGCGCTGCGCTGACTACATCTTGGTCGTATTTGTAACTCGAGTGTACGCTACTCCAACAACGACTTACTCCAACAACAAAAAAAAAAAAGCCCAAGCATGTTCTTCTGAGCGGCGACTGTTGATCATGATGCCACAAGAAGCCGAGGAGCTGTCAAACCACAAGAAACACCTCGCCAGAAGTGGAGCCCGTTTTACGCCCATGCCCGTTCGACTGCAGAGTCGTTGTTCATCTTACGCTGCCGCCATTCAAACCACTTGGGAGAAGTGAATACTCGTCGCTGCCACTGGAGCCATTTTACGCCAAGCTGAGCAGAGGATTGTACAGTGTACACGCATCTAAAATTAAAAATGCAGCGGACACCGGAAGGAAACCCACTTGAATAAATAGCGAAAACCAAATGGTCGAACACATAATCTCTCAGGCAGGTAACGACGTGGGTATCCAAATGGTCGAACCAAAAGTCGAATATGCAGCAAGGAACTCACTTGAAAGTTGAATAGATATATGTCATGAAGTGGGTCTGCGCTGAAACTCTGCGACCATGGCATGAGCTTCGATGGGATGGGATAGGTTGGATGAACGCCAGCGTTCAAAAGCGAAAACCAAATGGTCGAACACATATTCTCTCAATTTATGTGTGCCATCCTTGCGCAGGTGTCCTTTGCTGTCCCTCTCCTCCTGCAGATGCCAGTGGTGCGCCGTTTATGCAACAGAAGGCAGGCCATTTGGTAAAATTTAGTAAATTTACCCTTCTCTGTATCGTTCCAATTTTAACGCATGTCCCGATCAGATATTCCTATGCACTGCTCAGACAGATTCTGAACTAGATATAGAATGGCTGAGCCCAGTCGTCGGACACGGAACATTGCAGTCCAACCCCTTTCGCGAGTGGCTTGATATTGCAAATCCTTGTGTGTCAATGGCTATGAAACATCCTACTGATATACATCTGATATCTTACTGAATCCATAACAGGGGTTGTCGAGAAAGAGACGTGTACCCAACCTCATAACACGTGTGCGCGAGTCCTGACAGCGCACGTGTGCGTGAGTCCTGCAGCATGATCCTACCCTCCTTTGGAAGTAGGCAGGTCTCTATAAATACTAAATAGCAACAAGTGCTTCCGATGATCAATTGCTTCCGATGATCACCCCTATAAACCTTCCGTCTGCGGTTGCACTGCACCCATTTATCTGCCCAAAGCACTCTTGTACCAATCCATCCTTTCCTAAATGAGACAAAGAAGAAGACGAAGAAGAAGAAGAAGAAGAAGAAGAACAAGAAGAAGAACAAGAAGAAGAACAAGAAGAAGAACAAGGAGAAGAACAAGAAGAAGAATTGGACCGTTTCTCCATCTATGTGTGGTGTCCTTGTGCAGGGGCCATGCTAATCAATCTTCTCGGTATCATTCCAATTGTACCGGATGTCGTGAATTCGGTGCGATTCTGCTCGATACTTCACATCAATCTATCTTCAGTGGGAAGTTTTGGCTTCATCCCATCAGCTCCCTTTGCCGCATGTGCCTACCTGATGGTGATTTGTCGGTCACCAGCTATGGCTGTGCTAGACTAGCGTGAAAATCCTGCAGGTCAGGTTCATGCTCGTCTTGAGGTGAGGTCAGGTTCATGCTCGTCCAGCACAATCATAGCCCTATAGGGACTTCAACTGATCAGTACAAAGTACTACAAACTTCTTGGTGTTATGACCAATTTGTCGGACTCGTGCCACTGCCATCATCTCCTCATCTCCCAGGCGAGGTTCATGCTGGTCCCAGTCGATCCCCATCTCCGCGTCTGCTTCTCTCCCTTCCTCCAACCACCGATCCCTCTTTCCCATCATCCAGCAGCCGGCCTCGGAATGACAGTACACAATCAACGTAAAGTCTTAAATTGAATAATCATGAATCGGGGATGCTAAAAAAAAAAAAAAAAAAAAAAAAAAGGACAACGATAATGGAACGCGAGAACTGGTTTGGCATGAACTTAGAAGGACCTTGACCTTGGTTCTCTCCTTATTGTCCAATCCTCCTGGGACCAAAGGACCACCGCACTCTCAGAAAGTCGTTTGCTTTCTGCTCGGATCTTCTCCGTTAAGTAGTGCTCATCCGAAGGTCTGAGTTTCATGGCTGCTGTTTCGTCCCCTCTGTCAAGCGCCTGCTTTGCTGGCATCACATGCTTCCACCAGAAGTCGCTAAGCATACTATAGGTTAAATTCCAGTACTCGCGATCTCTGTAGACCCTGAAGAGAACGCTGCGTCTTCTAGTCCAAACATAAAAATCCAACCACTCCCTCTCGAGAATCTCGAGTAATCCTTGCACCTGCGGTATATAATAAGGAGGCACTTCCTTGTAGGGATGTTTGTATTTCCCAAACGGACACTTAACCTCCAACACCCCTCCTGCTTTTCCCAGTCCTGCAGCATCTGATTCCAGCAATCCATCCGGACTCGCCCCCAGCCAGTTATATGCATCTTGTCCGTCCCTGTACACTCGGAACCCTAGGGGGGTCACAACGTTGCCCGTAATCTTTTTGTACCTTTCGATGGCATGAGGCTCTTGACTGGAGCCCCAACGCATCGCCTCATTCTCTGCAAGTTCTTTAAGGCCAATCTTCTGCATCCAAAGGTCCTCGCGTCCACCGTTCCAGAACCCGAGAGCGTTGCCGAATGCGCTTGCGGTAAGCCGCCATCGTCTTAGCGCAAGCCATTCTTCGGTTCGTTGAACCGTCAGATCAGCCGGTACAGATCCTGTCTCGTTCACAACCGTCACTGCTTTCACCGCCTCGTCAACACCGGCCAAGCCGATCTCTGCAGCCACAGAAAGGGATGCATCCATGGCAGCCGATGTCATCCTCTCCAGGTCAGTCTGTCGATCCCCCTCCACGCAGTCGCCTTCCTTTTGCAGTTCCGCGTCCTGACGGGTGTGCAGCAGGTTACTGCTCTCATCTGTGTTTCTCTGCCGGCTGGAGGTGTCCGTAGCATTCCGCGCTGTTGCGGCAGAGGCCTGTAGCTCTGCCTTGGCCTGGCTGACTTCGTTTCCTGACGAAACGGTTCGATCCTCTTGTTCGTGTGCATCATTGTCTGCGCTTCTTTGCTTTCTTGACAACCTTTCGGGGACGGAATCGCCTGATCCGTCGATTAAGACACTCGCTGAATCTGACGGTGGAACACGTGCAGTGCGATTATCTGCCTTCTGTAGGATAAACGGTGGCGCACCACAGGCATCTGCAGGAGGAGACGGAGCTGTGTCTGGGACAGCAAGGGGCACCTGCATTTTGCCCCTGACACCCTGCACTTGTTGTCCACAGCTTTGGGGGGGGGACGACATACTTCCGCTCTCCAGCGGGGTCACACCTCTCCCTTCGGTTCCCCCAACCACCCTCGCTGACGGCGATACCTTCTGCTGCACGCGCAGCTTGTGCAAGGCAGACGTGTCAATGCTATAGCCATAGCTTCCTGATACACTCTCAATTAGAACCACCCCCTGGTCTATCAAGTCTTTCCGCAGCACTTCCGGAGAGTCCTTGTAATCCCTGAATGCGACCGTCAAGTCGTTCCATGCACTTTTGTAGTCTGCTGGTAGGAGTGTGCCAAGACGGGGAAACTCCAGCTGGGCATACTCACTAAACGGCATGCGCCGCCCCGGCAGGTCCACAAAACCTCCATCCCGCTCGCGTTCAAATGCGTCATACACACACACAAGATGTAGTTCCAAACTCTCTTGCACTGACAAGAGACAGCAAGCCCGCCCCCACCCCCC